GGGGCTGCGGGCGGCCCATCCTGGAGGGCTACATCGCCGCCCTGGAGGGGCTCTGGCACCCCGAGTGCTTCGTCTGTCGGGTGAGACACCCGCCACCCCCAGGTCCCCACCTCCCCTGGTCCCTGGTGTCCCCACGTCCCCGTGGCCCACCTCCAGGAGCACTTCGCCCCCATGTCCCCACCTCCCCTGGTCCCTTCATGTCCCCATGTCCCACCTCCAGGAGCACTTTACACCGCACATCCCCACCTCCCTGATGTCCCTGTGTCCCATCTCCAGGAGCACTTCACACCCCACGTCCCCACCTCCCCTGGTCCCTGACACCCCCATGCCCTGTGTCCCTGCCCCCAGGAGTGCTTCGCACCCTTCGTGGGGGGCAGCTTCTTCGAGGACGGTGGCCACCCCTACTGTGAGCGCCACTTCCACGCCCGGCGGGGCTCGCTGTGCCGGGGCTGCGGGGAACCCATCGCTGGCCGGTGCGTCACCGCCATGGCCCAGCGCTTCCACCCTGAGCACTTCGTCTGCGCCTTCTGCCTCCAGCCGCTCTCCAAGGGCACCTTCCAGGAGCAGGAGGGCAAGCCCTACTGCCAGCCCTGCTTCCTCCGCCTCTTTGGGTGAAGCCACCACCGCCCGCGCCCCAGCCCCATTGACGGTGCCCCGTATAGGTCCAACGGACACCCCATGACCACCCACAAGAACATTCCGTGGGTTGCCCCGTTGGATGGGTGTCCACCATCGAAGTGGTCTTCAAGGTGCCCCATGGTGCTTGCGGCGGGGGCCTCCTGTGTGGGGATCTGGCACCTTTGAGGTGCCCACGGTGCGGGGTGCCCCGTAGAGGTCCAACGGACACCCCATGACCACCACAAGAACATTCCATGGGTGCCCCACTGGATAGGGGTCCACCATCAAAGTGGTCTTCAAGGTGCCCCGTGGCGCTTGAAGGGGGGGCCTCATATGTGGGGATCTGGCACCCTTGAGGTGCCCCCACGGTGTGGGGTGCCCCGTAGAGGTCCACTGGACACCCTGCAACCACCACAGGAACGTTCCGGGGCGGCCCCGTTGGACGAGGGTGCTCCGTGGAGGTGGTCATGGAGGTGCCCCCATGGTACCTGGGAGTCTCATGTAAGGGTCCACCACCCCTGAGCTGCCCCATGGTGTGGGATGCCTCAAAAATACCCCATGGGGGGGGGGGGGTGTCCCGTGGGCGCTCCAGGGTGCAGGGTGACCCCTGGATCTGGCCATGGGCTTGCCCCGTGCTGTGGGGGGACCACGGATCTGGCCCAGAACTTGCCTCACGGCATGGGGTGGTCTCTGTGCATGGTGCAGGACTGGAT